GAGATATTCTTTATCAAAGTTAAGACTCTGCCACGCCCCCCTAAAACGGCTCGTTCTAACACCCCCCCCCCATGTCTACCTCACTATGTGTTCACGCAAAGAAAGAAGACGTAACTTTTATTCTCGCTGTAGTATTCTTGTTGCCGCCGCCATGCCATGGAGGCACTGTGTTTCATTGTGAAAGTGAAACTACTTTGTTTGGTCTTCCAAAAGAGGACGATATCCGCTTCGTCATGCCTGGAGCTGATCTGTGCTGGTCGCTGAGGAAATGCATCAACTTCACGCTTGAGGAATTCGGCCAATCACAATACACTGGATTGCTGGCCAATCACAGCACACCTCGCTTTTCAGACCGATGAGCTTTGTAAAAATCGACACGTTTCAGAAAGGCGGGGCATAGAGGAGAAACAATAATGTACAGTATGTGGAAAACTGTGTTTTTTTAACCTTAAACCACATAAACACATTTCATTACACCAAATACACAAAATAATGTTCTTTTTTAGCAACATCAACACATATGACCACTTTAATTATACAAAAAAATGTTAAAGAAAATATAAATATATATCAATAAGACAACAAAATTACTAAAACTTCAACTAAAAACTTATAGTAACACAATGATAATACAATACCAATAACACTGACTGTTATATTTAAGTGTTATAAAATTGTGTAGACATGGAAATTTAGAGAACCTATTGACATATTGTGTTTGCGTTCATTTATTCCATATATTGGTCTTAAAAGGTCTTTAAAAGTCATACATCGTTTTCTAATAAAGCACATATTTATAAACTTTACGTTTGTAGTTTGTTATCCTGGGTTATTTTAGCTATTCATTAGCGCCCATTACTAGTCTTGTGGTGAAAAGTTAATCTGTGTAAATTAATCTACATAAAATAATTTGTCTTCATAACCTTCAATTAGGATGGGACTAGTTTTCCAGGGGGTCATTAGAGAAACTTGTGTTTCACAGACGTACTTCGTGGTTTTAATCCCGTCTGAGTCTTCCAACTGTTTTTCTCACACAACCTCTAATAATTCCAGAGCAAATTACCTACTTTTTTTTTGGCAAACTCAGTGATCCTCTGAGAGATGTAATGCCGTCCAAATGCGAATGTCTGTGATATCTGATGATATTTTTTCACAAATCATTTCCTTGTGTGTTTTGGCCTGCGTGAACTACCGTAGACACTCTTACTACTGCACATGTTTTCGATGTGTTGCCTCCTGGTAAAGAAATAAAAAAATAAAATCAAGAGCCAGATCATGTAAATTGTTAAGATTAGCTACTATAATATCAGCATCAGATAAGATTTCTCACCTTCATTTCTTCACTCAATTAAATGTTTTAATTACATTTGTACTTTCGCGAAAATTAAACATGGTTTTACTACAGATAAAGGGGGAAAAAAACATAGTTTAACTAAGGTAACCACAAATTAACGGTGGTTTTGTTATACTAAACACAACTTAGCCATGGTATTTGTTGTAAAACTGTGGTTATACTAATGGTAATCAATCTGCATGACTATACGCAATGCCCAGATGTACAAAATAGACCCTTCCACCTCTGTAATAAATACAGAGCTGTTAAAGAGCAGGTCATATGGTATTTTAAAGTGTCCAAATATTGTGTTGGAGTCCCCTACAACAGGTTTAAATGCATCTAAGGTCAGAAAACATTAATATTAAATGTATATTCTGAGAAAATTACAGTCATTTGCCAATGATTTCGAAACGATTCGTTCCAAGCAAGTTCGGAGCAACCCCCTCCCTTCCATGAGCCTACTCTGCTCTGATTGGTCAGCTGGCCAAGCCTGCTGTGATTGGCAGAGAAGAGTCCTTGAGCAAGTTAGCGAGCGCTACCATTGACAAAGCACCTTTACATAAAACAATAATATAGTGCCACAATCCGTTCTTATAATAATGACATAAAATACTAAAACAATTATGCAAGCGAATCGTGCCCACAGCTAAAGTTTAGCTGCTAAACTGTGAACACTTAAAACAATAATGGTGGATACGTTAGTCGAGTGCTAACGTGACTAACTGATGAAACAATACAGTTTGTAAACCAAAATATGTCTACTGTAATGTTTGAAGAACGACAGACAAAAGACGCTCTGTCTAAACTTTTAATCAGAACGCAGAACAGCTGTATCACAGGCGCAGCAGCCTAACTAACTCGCTCATCTCTCCCGCATTACCGCTAGATCTGCCGGTGCAGCAAAATAAACAGCAGTTTCACAATGATTATAAAGTCTGTGCACTACACTACATTCTTTATTATTAAACAAAGTAATTATAATAACGTCAATCTACATTAATCGACACATTCTTAGGAAATAGTGGGTTCACAGCTAATTATCAGAACTACTTCAGTAAGACAGTAATATCTGCTTTACCTGGAAACCTAAAGCTGCACTAGGTGTACATCACATATTAGCACAAAAACTTGATATTTTGAGAACTCAATTGAAAATGTACACATAACGTATCAATCGTACTTACAGGTTGTGCTTCGGAGAGCTTGTTAATCCAAATTAAGAAGATAAGAAGCCAACGAAGATAAAAGCCAAGATTAGAGAAGCAGTCCTTGGTAAAAATGGCATGCACAAAAAGTTGGAATTGTATTTCTGTGGTATCCTTGAACACAGTGTCTTCTCAACATGATGTAAACACACTAACTAGCGGAAGTGTTTGTGGGCACTGGGCAGGTCACGATTCGTATTTCGCGGGCAGGCGGGGATTATACAAATATGTTACCCAGTGACGTATACCGGTAACAGGCAAAAGATTCTTAAATATGACGACTCGTTAAGGCGATTCAGAATCGACTCTCTCTTGTGAGAGACAATATTTATCATGCACTTTTTTGATTAACAACTTTGCAGATTGTTTTCATTTAAGGATAGCTACGTTATAAACTGCAAAAGAGATCTTTTTCAAAAACCCATATGACCTACTCTATAACAGACAGAATAGACAAGACACACCAACGACCGGCTTAACAATAGTGGCCTATAAAGAATTTAAAATAATGAATTAGTTATATACAGGGTTTTAAATTAACACCTGCCAACCCGCCAAATGCGGGTAAAAATCAGCTGTGGCGGGTAACACAAATCACTAGCCAATTTGGCGGGTTACTTTTCGTATAAAGATAATTAGACGATATTTTGCTGAGTCTAATTATCTTTATCGATAAAATCACAGAAAATATTGAGATATAATTTTTTGTCAATATCGCACACCCCTAGTACTGACAAAATGATTTGCAACGGTCGCTTTGTCGCGCCCAGTGTAGACAGCCTCGAGCTGCAGGTTTATTTCTGAATTATTTTTTTTTTTTGGCTAGTAGAAGTTATGAATGGCCGGTAACTTAAAAATGTAGTAGCCAAATTGGCTGGTGAGTGAAAAAGTTAATTTCAATCCCTGGTTATATAGTATAATCACTACTTGTATTTTCCAGAATGCTTCCAAATATATGTTTATTTTGTAGTGAAGGCACATTAATAATTTATGTATTTATGATTGGACATGAAAAGGAAAGATGCTCTGGGCTTTAAATATAATTACTGCAAAAACACACAAATATTGTTTTCAAAGTAAATTGTAGAGAGTCACCAACTAGTCACCAGCAAATGTAATTTAAATGTTCAAATGAATTTCTTTTGCTTTAGATGTGTGAATACAAATGTATAATCAATGTTTTGTCAGTGATGCTCTTGTGCTTCTGCCTCATTTCATTTATTGGCATCATTGTTCATGCTAATCAGTATGTGAATTAAGTGTGAATGTAACTGGACCTCTGTGATATTGAGTGCTATAGTTCTGATTGTTTTAGAGCTGCTGAGTTTCTCCAGGGTCTGAGTGATTGAACCAGAACTGCTCACATACTTTGCACACTGTGTTTAAGCTGGTGATCTGAGTGCTTTGTCTTCACTTGTAAGAACAGCCTCCTGAAATCTGTATAAACTAGTGATTCTCTGCTTTAGTCAGTCTGGATAACTGCAGCGCCACACAGTACCATCTCAATCAAGAACCTGCCGAAGACTCACTCAGTCTCCTGATCTTCACTTTTCTTCAGATTCTTACACGTGTAACTGTATATCATAGGTATTTTTTCTCTAAAATGTAAACTTTAATAAAATCATAAAACTATGTACTTTTTTTTCTGATGGATGTACTTCTAGAGTTCCAGTTTTTAATAAAATGGTTATTGCATTTTGTATTTATTAGCTGAACTGTTCACTCTTATTAGGGAAGATGAGTAACAACTGAAAGTTTTTTCTTTTCTTTTTTTGCCATTTAAAAAAAAAACTTGAATGGTAAAACTTTAATCGATGAACCATTTACCTTTAAACTGTATTTTAAACAAAATTGCTAATATAAAAGAATATTACCACTGAAATAAATAAGATCAAAGTCAGAATATATTATCCTTTCCATCCAATCCTTATAGAAGACAGATTTGTTCATTTTCAATGTGTATTTGTTATTCATAGAGGGCTGATATGGGGAGGAAAATTATGTTTGTAAATCAATATTTCTATATAATAATTGAAATCTGCGGGTTTAATAGGCAACTTGTTAATATAATAAATCTGATTTTAATAAAGATAATCTGGGGAAATGTACAAACCCAATTCCAAAAACTAAACCCATCGTCAATCCTTTACAGTCATGGACTTTAAATCAGCTTTAACCAAAAAAGCTGAAATTTGATTTACTGGCTTTATATTCTGAGGAGAAACTGAGATGGAATAAGATGAATACATTGACATAAGGATTCAGTTTCAGTAAATGAAAGTTAAATCTCTCTGCAACCACAAATTATTTAAATATGAAAATGCTGAACTTTTATCCTTAATTGAGAAGATCAAAAATGGTCGTATCATGAATTAAAAGCCCTTCAGAGTTGCTTACATTCAGATTGGTATAACGCTCACCTGTATTAATAGCTTTGGGCTTTTGATAGCTCTTCAGTGTATCCCTTTAATTCATCATGTAGTGTATTATATTTGTTTTCTAATGTAAAACTATATTATTTTACGAGAAAATACTTTTATGTTGGTCTGGCAAGGTGACGTCATAAGGCTGCGACACGCTCCAGCGTCTGTGACTCGTAGGGATGGGCGATACCCCTTATTTTGTTTTCGATACGATACCGATATTTTTCAAGGCAGTATCGTCGACATCGATACCGATTCGATACTTCTGCACTAAACTTTTAAATTATGAAATGTATTAAATTATTAAATTACTAAGAGTAAAATGGGTAATGAAAACCACTTAACTTTATGTTTAAAACGCATTTTAACCCGTTTAATCCCAAATTTTTCCCAGACATGAAAATATCCAAATGATGTGTCATTAGTAACCCTTTGAAATAATCAATAATTTATTTTAATTTTTTTGGAAAAGTGTGTGAAAAATGTTATGGTCAGTCACAATTGTAACCGGTGGGATAATGTGTATACTGAATTAACATATTTCTGCAGTCTTAAACATTGTTATATATCTTAGCCCAGCTATTTTAAACTGTTTGATCACATTCTAGGGTTACTATTATGCATAAAAAACCCTTATACAACATTGATAGGAATACTGAGATCAAATACAAAACAATTCATATTAATATTCATTAATATTCTAACTTATTTGTAACATTTGAACTTTTGATTTAGTGCAATATTTTGTACTGCCATTAGGGACTGCCAGTGACCAGCTGTTGCATACATAAAATGCAATCTTTTTATTCTGACAGAGTATGATTTCTATAAACGTTACAGAATAGAATATGATCTATATTATCTTTCAACGTTCAATTTAAATAATTGTAATTGCACAAACTATGTAGGCTACAATTTCAATTTGTTTATTGTGAAATAACTCAAACATTTATATATATTTTTCTGTTCTCTGATAAGCATTGTTCAGGGCTGCCGTTCCCAAAAGCTTTAATGCTTTCTTATGATACTTTAGGGAAAAGCCAGCCCTGTTTGAATGCACTGTCAGAAGTGAGTGAACGCTCTCTGTGATTGATCGGTTCTGTCTTGCAACATTTGCGTGTGTTCAGATGAGCAGGAAAATAGTTCTATCCTACACAATTACTCGCTAATAAAGGTTATTCGTCCAATTCAATGCATATTGTACGCATTATTATTATTATTTTTGTTAAATAAACAAAACCACTGGTAAATAAAATGCACCTAAGTATCGATATTTTTTGTTTGAGTATCGATACTTTCGATATATCGATACTTCGGATCGATAAGCCCATCCCTAGCTGACTCGCCTGAAGAAAGGTGTGCTTTTAATCGTTTAAAGTGGTTTGCCATCCGCCATAAAATGTCATTATTAGAAGAAGAAGTATCATTTAAAGTGTTTAAATTAGCACAACTCGTTTAGAGAAATACATAAAACTTAAATCTTTTATTACAGAATGCAACACTGTAATGCTTTAGTGACATTAATCAAGGTTATTTTATGTTAGTATAAGCGCTCCCGCCCATGAGAAACAGAAAACGTGCGATATATCGTTAATCGTTTTTTTTTTATAAATATGAATTCAGTCACTGGCTTGTAGAGATGAGAGAAACTGAGGTTTTCCAAACGCCCAGTCAACTGAATCAATTGCTTCACAAAATGATTCAGTGATCCGAATCGCTTGAATCACCGCACACTGACGACACAAAACAGTGTAAATGCAACGAGAACAACAAACACAAGCACGTAATTACAACTTTTACAAACCAACTGCAAATGTTTTCATGAGAGAATCTGTCGAATATAAAATACAAATCAGTAAGTATTAAAAATAAGTCTTAACACTTTGAACAGTCTGTATAATTTTTGTTCTTTTATTAATCTGAGTGGTAGTTTTGGTTGTTTTTGTCTTATCTGATCATTTAAAACCATTAACTATCACTCTGATTGACTCGCTTACCAATGCACTGACTACTGAACTAGGGAGCTGATTGAGATGCACACAGGGTTTTCGTTTTATTTGTTTTCTGTTCATTATTGTCATCTTAAACAGGACAAAGTGTCCAAACACACAGAAAAACTCCTGCTGAAGCAGCTGAGATCCACGTGACACACTTTTATAAAGATGGCATTTATTAAAGAGGAGAGTGAAGACGTGAAGATTGAAGAAGCATTCAGAGACAAACATGAAGATACTGAGGAACAAACAGGTTGGTTTTCATTGTCAAAGCTGAACTCAGTCAATTGATCCTTATAAATATAAATGTCCAGCTCTACAGAAGAATAGTACAGAAGTAGTCTGAACAAAGTTATTTTGTGTAACATTACGCCCAATATCTACTTATGATTAGGAAACAATGAAAACAGTATGTAACAAAAACTTCATAATGAACTGCAGCTTAATAAAACCAAACTGTTCATGTTAATGAGCTACACATACTGTTTATATTAAAGACCTAAGTAGCACACTAAAGAAAACATCTGTTGTGATTTTTCACATCTTCAATCACCCTCATTTGTAAATGTATCATCAGAAGTTGATCTAGGATGAGTGTTTCTCCTGAACTCATGTAGCAGTACACGTGTAGGATGATCTTCACATTCAGACACAACATAAATGTGAGGAACAAACTCTCAATAGATCTCTTGTAACAGATGGATTTGTACAGAGAGACTGATACGAACTCATATACACTGAACAAAAAAAACGCCTTTGGAGACTGCTTATGGTAGACAAATGAACATTCAATTCACGGGCAACAGCTCTGGTGGACATTCCTGCAGTCAGCATGCCAATTGCACGCTCCCTCAAAACTTGCGACATCTGTGGCATTGTGCTGTGTGATAAAACTTTTAGAGTGGCCTTTTATTGTGGCCAGCCTAAGGCACACCTGTGCAATAATCATGCTGTCTAATCAGCATCTTGATATGCCACACCTGTGAGGTGGATGGATTATCTCGGCAAAGGAGAAGTGCTCACTAACACCGATTTAGACCGATTTGTGAACAATATTTGAGAGAAATAGGCCTTTTGTGTACATAGAAAAAGTCTTAGATCTTTGAGTTCAGCTCGTGAAAAATGGGGGCAAAATTAAAAGTGTTGCGTTTATAATTTTGTTCAGTGTATGATGCTGTTTGCGTAACTCAGGGGTGTCAAAGTAATTTTAGGTGGGAGATCTGATGTCCTGTATTTCCTTTTACACTGTCAGTTGCGTAAGGGATAATGTACATCCAGCTGGTTGTTATCGCAGAATAACCCCCGACAGGGTGATCAGGATCCCAATGAGAAAGATGTACATTATTCCACTTATTACACAGCTACTTGCCACATAAGTAAATAATTAGACTTGAAATATTGATTTGAGTTGAAATATTTGAATGCAAAGCTTCCATGAAGAAAGCAGTCACTAGCAAGCGCCAAGTTCAAATTAGACAGACATTTAGGCTACGTCCACACGAAGCCAGAGCATTCCCTATCCCTTTTCCCTATTTTTTCCCCTCGTCTCAAGAAATATCTGCATCCACATGAAACCACGAAACCGACACAAAACTATGTAGTATACATGCAAGACCAGTATGTGGCGCTGTAATTCTGCCACAGAGATACACTAAAAATGAAGAAGACTTGGACTATGTGCATAAACCTTACGTGCAGTATACAAACAAACATGGAACAATACATTTATTAATCTGTTTTAATGTTGGTTAATAAAAAGATAATTGTTCAGTGTTTGTTCATGTTTTTGTGGCTGTTACGTGACATAGCGGTGTCTGACTAGGGGCGAGACGTGGGCTGATGATGTCAGAAAATATACGGATTCGCTGTTCACATGAAAACGCAAGGGCAGCATTTTCAGATTTATCCACTCTGGGACCCGTTTAAAAAAAATATCGGTTTCACTCTCCCAAAACGCCGGATCCGTGTGGACGAAACGCCTATACAATACAAAATGTATGCGTATACAGCTAAATGTGTCTCCGTGTGGACGGGGCCTAAGTGATACGGTACAGTCATACCACTTATTACACAGAATTTCACCACATGAATAATTATGGTGAAAAAAGATATTGATTTAAGATTAAACTTATTACAGTGTACAAAACATTTATTGCAAAATGGCAGCAGCATTTAAAGGGGTCATATGATGCAATTTCTAGTTTTCCTTTTTCTTTGGAGTGTTACAAGCTGTTCGTGAATAGATAAGATCCCTAAAGTTGCAAAGACTAAAGTCTCAAACCCAAAGAGATATTGTTTATAAAAGTTAAGACTCGTCCACGAAAAGCGAACCTACTTTGTTTGGCCTTCCAAAAGAGGACGATATCTGCTTCGTCATGCCTGGAGCTGATCCGTGCTGGTCGCTGAGGAAATACAACAACTTTTTGCGCTGGATCAGCTTTCACCGTGGCCGAAGCGGAGTCCAGCCCGGGGTCGTCACATGTTGTTGCCGCAAGCCCTCCGGATGCTCCTTCGTTAAAAATCTGCTGGCCGTGCCGTTCTGAAGCCCGCTGCTTCTGCTCACTCAAGCCGCCAGCCTCCGCTTACTCTAGGCCGCCGTGTGTGACGCTGTGTTTCGTTGTGAAAGCAAAACAACTTTGTTTGGCCTTCCAAAAATGGACACGACTAGAAATCAGTGGTTAAGTTGTATTTACAACACTGTTCCAGAACACTTCAACCCAAATATTCAAATGTGTGCAGCACATTTTATGGAGGACGTTTCCTGATCCTGGTAGAGTAGACTACAATGCCAGCTGTTCTGAATCACAGAATGTAAGTACGTTTTTTATATTTAAAGAATTTGCCACTGATGATTCAAATGCGAGTTTTGGGCAGTGTAGAGTAGGGCTTGTTGTTTGTCATTTCTCCGATCACAAATGCAGACATGGTTTTATGCGGTGCGCGATGCAACGCAACGCGTAAAAAGACAGTATAATTCATTATAATCCATAATTATGTCCCCACTGGATGCAACAAATGCCTCGTTTATAATGTGTTTTCATGTTTTTGAATCATCACTCCGGCCTGACAGGGCATCATCACAATATGGTAAGGGGCATAACATTTCCGTCACACGCAGTGTTGCCAACTAATTTTCAGGTAGAGTTGCTAAAGGCAGGTCAATTTGTTGCTAAAAGTTGCTAAATGACATTGTGACATCACTGGATGATGATGTCATTATGTAACCATGACACAAAACTGTATCATTGCATAGAATACACACTGAAATAACTCAAATCTCAGCAAAGAATATAATTTGTAATATGTTCATTTAGATTTTTTGTAAAAATAAAACATTATTATTTGTAAAAGTAATAAAAACATTTTTATTACATTGAATTATTTGTTACACATTTTTGAAAAATTACATTTTATGTATTTTCTAAATAACTAGTAACACTACACTTTATTAACAATTACAGTTTTAAGCAGCGTATTGGTAGTAAGTTAAATGCTACACTCTTAAGGAAAGTCCATAAAAATAGGGCACAGTGTATGTGTTAATATATGAAAGAATTTTCTGTATTAATTTTTCACTAGCATTTTACCTGTATTTTAAATTACACATTCCATTTAGATGAGATAGATTGGTTTTTGAGATAAGATCAATAGTGTACCTAACTGATTAACCATTATAGGCACAAAATAACAACTACAGTGTATCAGAAATGAACAATTATTATTGAACAAGTGCAACTAGCAACTTGATTCACATGATGTGATGTGTGTACCGGTGGGCAGCTCTCTCCACAGCTGATGTGCTGCTTAGCTGGCTAGGCTAGCTGTTTAATAATTTCTTTTTTTGTGTGTGGTTAACAGGAAAAATGCATGCCTTTTTAATTATTTGAGTCACTATTCAAAAGTTGCTAAAATTTGCCAAATACATTTTAAAAATAGCAAAATTTGGTGCTAGGTGCTTTTTGGAAAGCAAGTTGCTAGGGTAGTCTGAAAAGTTGCTAAATCTAGCAACAAAATTTCTAAGTTGGCAACACTGGTCACACGCTTGAGGTATTCGGCCAATCATAACACACTGGATAGCTGGCCAATCACAGCACACCTCGCTTTTCAGACAGATGAGCTTTGTAAAAATCAACGTTTCAGAAAGGCGGGGCATAGAGGAGAAACAATAATGAACAGTATGTGGAAAATAATGTGTTTTTTTTACCTTAAACAGCATAAACACATTTCATTACACCAAATACACCAAATAATGTTCTTTTTAACAACATCATATTGGACCACTTTAAGCATGGATGTTTTTCAACCAAGGCTTTGGCCACACTTTCAATCTGTTCCTGTGATGGGTATGGATTCAAATTGAAAATAACATCCGCAAGTTTGTTCAGGATTTCAGACTTTAGTTCCTTTGTAACAAACCCTAAAGGAAACTGTCTTTTCTGTGTGCATCATTTCCTTGCTGAAGCTTCAGTTCCACATCATATGAAAATCTTTGATTTGACAGATCTTTGATTTACTAGGTGTACTTGATGCCAATGATGATGCAGATGTCAGGCTTGTGGTGTCATCATTTCTGCTGTTGATTTGGTAGTGTCTGCTGGATAATCTTCAGTGTCGCTCTGTCTTAAGACAAATCTGCTATTTGTCAGATTGACCAAATCATTCTGAAAATCTGGATCTTTACATTGTAACACAAACTCCCCCTCCAGATTTAATTTAGACCTCAAAATAAACTTAAGATCTTCTACACTTTCTGGCAGCCCATCAATTACCATCTTTGTGTGATGTCATCTGGTGCCAACAAAACCCAGAGCAACATCCTACATTTTTGTAAAACAGAAAAAAAAGAGAAAAAAAATTAAAGTTCTATTACAGGGGATTAATCAAAATATAACACGCTATAAGCAGCTAAAAGCATGTGAAAGAGTTTCCCTTAATTACCTAGATGCTAACGTAAAAAGTCTGTATCTGTCAAACAAAGTCTCTGTCAAACAAACTAAAATCAAGAGTGTGATATGTGCAGAAGTCTGTTTGCGCTACGTGCTACATTCGGTACAAAGCAAAGTGTACACTTTGTATACGCATTTTCAATTTGCACACTGATCGTAAATTTCACTGATAAACATTAAAATTTACAAAATGTTCTTAAGGGGTTGCCCCATCGAGGAATCAAGGTCCATCACCCGTCACACAAAAACCTGTGAGAAATCCACTGATCTAACAATGGCAGAAATTAGCAATTCAATCTACGACTGTATGATACATCAACCCAGTCTCACGGC